AGAGGGGTGGGTGGGAGGGGGGGAGCAAAAATAGTAGGCCTACCTTATCGAAAGGAAGGTGGAAAAGGTTGTCCTACCAGGGAGCAGAAATCTAAATCTATCAAGGTCACGAGCACAGGATACGGAGTAAGATACGAAAGGGGTCGGAAATGGAATAAAAAGCAAGCAGATTAAATGAACCGTTTTTGAATTGAACCGTCTCATACAAAATCGATAACTTAAAAAAAAAAAGAAAGAAAGAAAATGACGAGGAAAGTAGGCTTTAAAAAATAATATTGATAGGCCTACACATTTGTGGTTTGTTGTATTTTTTAAAATTTTAATCTTCTTAAGACAGAATCTTTTTCTGCCTTATGAACTGCGGTTACAAATGGGCGTACTTATTGCATAGTGCAACCTTTGACGATACAAATGTATTTCCTAAAGGTTAACTTTACAGTAAAGTATACTACAACAATGTAGGGCCCCTATATGTAGAACCGTTCACAACGAAATGGTGAGACAGTGGTTTCTATATTTTCAACAATCTCATACCCTCGTAAACCATCACACCTTCCCCTTTCCTTTCATTTTCTTATTTAGTTTTCGTAAGAGTTTCACGGCATTTATAACACAAATACATTTATAAGTATGTCGTACAAGTGCCGGAGATTTAGTGTAGCTACAAGACATACAAAGAAAAGAAGCAAGCCATACAAAAGCACCCGCCGACCACCAACGCGGAAGAACTAACGCAGTCCATTTTTTTAAGGGGGCGAACAAGAGCTGGCAACGACGCAAACGAATGCCTGGACAAAATAACGAAATAATAATGTCACCGTGCCTATCTTAATACACTATTCGGATGAAGATAACACGTGTTAAAAAAGCCCGAGTCCAACATTTTTCTTTACTCGTCCCTCCACTAAAGTAAGCAAAAAGATATCGGACAGATATGACAACAAACAAGGAGACGTCTGCCTGCCACGGACTTAAGTTTAAACAACGATTAAAGGAGAGAGAGAGAAAAAAAAATAACACTATTCGACTTCCTTCGGGAATTACCATATATTATCCAACATTGCAGAACCTTCCGCACGGCAATAGCCACAACTGTACAAGTACAACACTCTGCTCAAACGGCCTCGAGCCACCAAAGTGTCCACTTACACCAATGAAGTCACAGATGAGATTAACACTGTGCAACAATGGACGCAGAATACGTAATAACAAAAGGGAGGAAATGCACACAAGCACATGACGTGTATTACCTCTTCTGATGCAGTCGGAAACAGAACATTTCACACCGCATTTCAACAAGCATCATTAGCCTTAGGGTTCCTTTTTTTTCCGAAAAGTTGGTCTCCTACTCAACGTGTTATGACGACGTCAACGAAATACTAATTGTGAAGATTATTATACACTGGGAACAGTCAGTCTGTGTTTATCACGCAAGAGTTGTGAACTTCATAAACAAAAAAAATCAACACGTGCAAACTTCATATACATGTATTAAGTGCCTCCTTCGGGAAAGTGTTTTCCCACAAAGCACAGTATATTGCACTTGCAACAAAACAAAAACCTTAGGAGAAAAAAAGCAAAAACAAACAAAAAACGCTCTCGGTTGAACAACTACACGTATCACCAAAAAAACGGAGATGGACCAAACGGGTGCAGACACGTGGAATTCCCACATGACCTGTGATCTAAAACGCCCTATTCGAAGCAAAGCAAGAAGTCCAGTATTTATAATTCAGGCTTTGCTACAGGTCCCACCCATCAGCTGTAATAGCATTCAGGGAAACAATATCTATAAAAGAAAAAAAAAATAATCGGTTTAAACAGCTGACCGATCGTTTTTTTCAAAGTGAAACAATCTCTCCCAGCTGGACGTTATGATTCACCGTCACCGCGGAGCTTTATAAAATGCAAGTTTCGCTCTCCGAAAATGGTGATCCTGATAAATCTGCGCGTAAGCGCTATATTTATAATGATTATAATATGGAAGGGTAAGAGTGTCATCAATATAAAGGTGCAATCTTCCGTTATAGTTCCTGAAAGCTTTGCTCTGAACACAATTTGTCTGCGTTTAATTAAGTCAGATATGCCCCCACCCCCCTTTCCCCTTTTCCCATTCAAAAAATATTCACCAAAAGAGATGGTTGTAAGTCTTTTGCAAACTACTGTGTATACAGTATCAAATACCAACGACAGTAGAACAAAATATAAATTCAGTTCCAGCGTATCCGTGCAAAGACGTTGCACTACATATATCTAAATAATGAAAGAGTTCTGATGGGATTTTATTAAGGGTCCAGCCACTTCCAGGGACCCAAAAATGTGCAACCGCTGTTTTTTGCTTGTGTTGTTGTGTTTTTGTTGGGGGGGGGGGGAGTAAGTTTACGTAAGAGTTTTATGGCACTTGCAACATAATAAGGTCATAATAAGTGCCAAAAATAAGAGGTGTTACAAGTTACATGTAGTAACATGAACAAAAAGGAGGAGATCTTTTTATTTACAGGAAAGAACCTGATCAAACCAAACGAGAGCACCCGCCTATCAACCACTCTTATTTGAGTTTGTCGGAGGAAAGAGAAGCAGTGTTGGGGTAAAGAAAGACGGACGAGAAACAACAGAAGGAACGAAAAAAAGGAGGACATACCCATCGCACCTTCCAAACACACGCACACCCACAGGCACATATATTGTCATTGTCCGTTCTTGACTAGATAGCACCGCCATTGAGAAAACTGGTGATTCCAAGGTTACTGCTATAGAGGCACTACACAAGCTTTGAACGGGGATTAGAGACGATGATAATATAAGGACAAGAAGGGCAGTAACACCCAACTTTTACTTCAAGCTATTATTTTGAAATCGTCACCGCAAGGAAGAGTGGAACTGTGTCCAGTTTCGATAATAAACAAACAGCGAGTTTAAATTACTATCTATGATCACAGTCACGTTTCGCCTGTGACAGATTTGAGTGGCAGAAATTATATTTCAGTTATGATACAGCATAATAAGATTATAATATATAAGAAATAACAAGATACATCTTTATACATGTAGTCCAGATCCTGGCACATTGGTTGGGTGTCTCACCACGTACACAAACATACACACACATGATACATTACACACACGCGCGCACAAACAAGCACACAGACTCATACGCACTCACATATCACACAATCTTCTCTCGCACATCCTCTCTTCCACACACATCAGCTGTGTACATAAAACCATAATAACAGTAGTATTATAGTGTGCTTGCACTGTCATTGCATTAACATAGGCCAAAACTGAACCAGTGAACAGCTCCTTTAACAGTTCTGTCCCTGTGTCTCATTTTAGAAACCATTTTTTGGGGTGTTTTTTATGGGTATCTGTGTGGGCTTCCTAGATATCTCGTTTTCTTTGTGGTGTTCATAACTTACACAGTACCTGACATTGAAACCCTTATATCATATTATGTGAAGTGCCTTCATTTTCTTTTTACAAGATACTTTTTACCTTTTCCCCCCCTGAACAACACCATGTCCCAGTCTCAAGTAATTTATTTCAAAATTTGGTTGCTATGTCACAGAATCTGTACGCCAACTGAAATGTTGACATATAAATAAGCAGAAAAAGAATAGTTCACTATATTATATTAAAAAAGGTTTTTAGAAAAAGGACTATAATACCACTTATCCGCCAGCTATTAAAGCTAACCTCATGAACTGAGTATCTTGTAAAAGAGCGGTTTTTCTGTCTCTGGTTTAGTTTTAACACCCAGAACCACCATGACAAGTCATAATCTCATAATCCTGTTATTGAAGACATGTGGGTGTATGGACAGCATGAATCATGATGCTCTCTCGTATACATTTATATATGTTTCCACACTGACTGTCAGCAATGGCTGTATCCCCAGGGGACCTAATGGCCCACAGCTGTGACAAAAATGATGGAGGTGCTTTCAATTTTCTGTGCGGCTGTTTCATCTCTCACACCCGTGTTTTAAAAAGAAAGCCTATAATATGAAGCATTGCCCGCATTTCATTTTGGTATTTTCCTTTACCGATAAATATCAATATCATCTTCTTTTCTAAATATATTTTCAGAGGTGACTTACATTCACTCTTGTGGAAGAGCCAGGGCTGTTCTAAAGTAGCCTGTTTCTCAAAAGTACTTCTGAGGCGTTGAAACCTTTAATGTCATTATCTTTTTCTTCAATCAATAAAGTGGCATACAATGTATTTCGCAAACTGACTACAAAGGGATGGACAACTACATTGATGTAGCCGCAAGATCCCCAACTGTTTCAAGAAGAGATCAGATGCAAACACCAGAATTCAAGAACTGCTTTCATTAACTTAATAAATCTGTGTGTTCACATGAAGTCAACCCCCACCTCCTCTTCCTTCTCACCCCAATATTTTATCTCTGATTAGTGAAGAGTAAGCTTTTCACCAACTGTCAGATTCCTTCCTTACTTAGGTGTTAGGTGGAAGTAGAAATGAAAGTAAGCAGTGTCCAAGAATACTGTGTGTAAAGAGAACAGATTAGGTAATCAAATATAATAATGTCAAAATGAACAAGAACAACAACCGATTCTAAAACAGGTCAAGACAGAGTGACAGGAAGGTAAGTTAAGAGTATTTTTTCAAACTGGAGTTCAGATTGAATGCCTCGCCAGAATGTTTGGTAAAGTAAAAAAGCACCCCCCCCCCCCTAATTTTTCAAACCTCAAAATTCAAATGTTCAGAGAAAGTAAAAGAGAAGAGAAGCAAAGCTATCTAGTGCAAAGAAAAAAGAAGAAACAACAGGCAAAGCAGCAGTGGGGTCTTCAAACCACCAACTGAATTTGTGAAAATTAAACAGCCATCGAAGAAACTTTTAAAGAAGTTTCACCAATATTTTGTTTACCTCACAAAATTATCATCAACAAGTAAAGACAATGCATCCTTAGTTTTATCTAAGAGAACGAACCACAACAACAAGGAGCTATGAGTTAGAAGGGTAGAAATACTCACAGTGACAACAAGGTTCCTGTGGTCGTTCTGGATATTATTATTGTCCCTGCTCGTCTTAGATTGTTTAGCAGCTTTCTTGGCTCTGCTATCGAGCCAGCGCTGACGTAGCTGTAAAGTATCCTGCTTCTGCTGTTCATAGATGCCCGGCCTGGCACCGTGGTAGCGTCCCGCGCTGCTGCTGTGGTGGTGACGGTAAACGTCTATCCGTCGGCGGATCTTGTCAACCACATCTTTCCTTTTGGGGGCAAAGAAATCCCCCATGCTAGCCGCAGCCCCCTGGTGAAAATGATGTCGCCGATGGTGGTGTGGTGGAAGAGGAGGATGAGGATGAGGAGGGAGAGACGCTGGGTGCTCGGTGAGGGTGCCAGGACGATGCTGTGATGACGGAAGCTCCAATGCGGGGGAAAGAAGCTGCTGCTGTTGTTGTTGTACTTGCTGAGGCAGTGGGGCTGGTGGTGGCTGCTGGGCACCTTGGTGGTTGTGGAAATAATGCTGCTGCTGCTGCTGTTGTTGTTGTTGTTGCTGTGGTGGATGTTGTAACTGCCGAGGTAAGTGAGGATGGTGCTGGGCAGGGGGCAGCGACGGGTAAGGGCCGTGGTTCTCCAGGTCAGCGAGAAAGCCACTGCTCTGGCAGACCAGGACAGCGGTTCAGGAGCCACAACTTTCTGCTGATCAGTTGAGCCAACTGACTAATGCTATATTATCCCATTGACTTCCACAGTCACTGTTTGTGCTGCTGTTCAAGCAGAATATTTTTCTTTTAGAATCAAATTCAAATTCAAACGAGAATGGCAAGCCCTGTGTAGAAATTTTTTCAAATTTGAACTCACTCGCTGACAAAGCACACAAAAAATCCACTCAAAATTTCGTTGAATTAACTACCATTGTACACACTCATATAATGGCTACCACAATTCAAAGGTCCGCAACAAACTGAAGCTAAATCTAATCTACAGAGAACAGAATATCATGTATGGTCAAAGCAAAGTTATTCCCCCAGATCTAGATCTAGATTCATAAGCAAATAATCTCCCTAGTCTCATAGACACAAGACACGTATTTTCATTCCACAGTTTTGCCTATCTTAACATTTAGTAGATATCTAGCCCTACTACATTAGATATATCTAGACCTACACTTTTGTCTAGCTCTCAACGTAATAATAACGGCACACAAGAGGTAAACAATCGAGACGTTGCCTCGTTATCCACCAACATCTACAGACAATATAACCACAAGATTGAACATTCCGAGAAATAAAGGAGGGTAGATTTTGAATCTTGATCAAGAGAAAAATTGAATATATCTAGATTTCTAGATCTAGATTCTAGAATTAGAATCTATATCTAGATTCTAGTTCCTAGAGTTGGTTTCTCAATCTCAGAGACAGAGGTAGAGAGAGAACCATCAAGTCACCCAACTCTTTTTAAAAGCTCCTTACACACCACTTTCTATTGTGAACACACGCGATGACCTGGTTTGTTCTGCAATAACACGACACACTTCGCACAACACTAAGATAGAATGGCCTACTATCACAGGTCACAATCAAAACAGTAACACAACACTGCCACTGTGGATTAAATCAAAGAATTAGAATCTAGATATATAGATCTAGAATCTAGGTCTAGATCTAAGTGGAGGTCGATTTGATGAAATACAACTGCTTAGACTAGACGACTGGCGAAGTATATTCTACCTATTATCATTTCCGTACATATATGTGATTATGAGTGTATGAGCAATAGATCTAGAAGTCTAGGACAATAAAAGATGCTGGGAAGCAGACCTATGAGATAACGTTTACCGTCCACAATAAGCACACACACACGCGTTCACCAATCCAGTCCTGAGTTTGCAGTCGAACACCAAAAAAAAACGAGTTAATTTTGTGTACACCCTCGATCTCTCCTCGAGCAGTAGCAGTAAACCAAAGAGTGTCCGGAAGGGCGAGCGAACTTTTTCCCTCCTCCTTCAATGCAAACACTGATTCACAATAACAAAGAATAAAGAGGAGGTGATCGAGCGAAACAGGCCTTCCATCCCACACAGCACAAAGTAAGCAACGCTGACATGACACAGCGAGCACACACACTACACAAGCCGATCTATCCAAACACCCCGTTCGGTGGTGGTAGTGGTGGTGGTGTGTGTGTGTGCAAGAAACACGGGCTAGCCCCCGACTCTAAGCTCGACCTCGCACTTGGCGCTAACATGACTGAAATACGCACTCTTGTCCCCCCTTCAACTGCGCCTCGAGTCGGCGCGCTGAACTCCCACTCTTCACAATGGACCCCGCGAGCGCAATGATATTCCCCGGCACGCTTACCGAGTCGGACGTGTCCACTTGCGGAGGCGCGGGGAGTGGTAGGATCACTTGAAAAGATTTGCCGCCCCTCTCGTTCGGCTTTTTCTTCCCCTCCCTCCCTCACTCTTCTTTTCGGGCCGTCATATCCGAGAAGCAATACAAACGAGATTTCTGGAGAGTGAGAAAGGCGGTGGGCCTCGGTGATTGCTGAATAAAATTGTTGTTTCCCTTTGGTCTCGGCCACGGACAAGGGACAGGTGTTGGTGACAAAAACCCCGCTTGCCTCCAGTCCCACCCGCTTTTCTTGCTGTTAGCTTCTCTTAGAGATCGACGCAGTAACTTGAGTTATAGGCTAGTGAGAGTCAACTCAACAAAATAGCTGGGCTCTAAAATCAGTTCTAAGAACAAAAAGGTCGGTGTTACACTTACACTCGTACAATGTTAGTTATGACATCAGCGTTAAAAAATCGCGCGCATGTCAGCATTTTTCAAAAGGATAGCCCACATTTAATCGTACAAGCAGTTCCGTAATAATATGGTGGGCTCCCATAGATATTGCTGGGGTGTCCACAGTAAAGTGGATTCCCAGATACTATACTATTATTATTGTTGTTGTTGTTGTTGTTGTTGTGAATTGTTGTTGTTGTTGTTATGGTTGGAGTGCTTGGGCTGAGTCAGAGAGGTCATGTTTCGCTACTGACTGGGACGATTGTGTTTAGAAGGAGTTGGATTTTTTTATAACTTATTGTTATGACTTTTGAAACGTTGTATAACATAAATGTACAGCATAAACCTCTGCCCCCCAAAGTGGGATGCGTCTAGTGCTCAGTTGATTATCATACTTGACTATGATGCACATGATCGTGGATCGATTTCTCAAGTTTTGACAGTTTTCAGGGCTTTCCACAAACTCAACTTTTTTAGCCTGATCGGAGACGAATGTTAAATTAGGGACCCGCCGTGCCTCTTAAACGAGTTAGATTCTACATATTTTGCTGGGGGTGTTAAACGTAGTATGTAATACTCAATAGTCACAGCTCGTCCAACATAAAAACATCATAGTCTTTTGTGAATAACTTTTGATTCCATTTACTTTGAGCGATGAGATTTTAAATATTATACAACACGACAATCAATGTAAGTTGTTTTTTTTCCACGGACTACCATGCTACGGAAATAACCAAACTTTGGGGACCATTTTCTCGCTATTTCTACTTTTGAAACCTGGTGACCCCGCCTTCTTCAATCTCAAATACCTTGACTTCTATTCAAGATAGACGGGTATTTTTTCCCCCGATAGCAAGACCAACAAAAAAGCTTTAAGATGATACTAAATAACTCCACCAGCACAAAAACTGACGAACGCCTGATTCCACCACGTCTACCTAGTGGCAGAAACAGCAGAGGAAGAACTACCGACATCTTACTTCTTTAGGCTGTTCATGTTTATAAAAATGTCGCTGCCTCTTTATGCAGTGTTGTTGGACACCCCCTCCCCACC